TGTCCACTGTCTCCACTCCTCTTCAACATAGTCCTAGAACCCTTAGCCAGGGCAATAAGGCAAGAAAAAGACATTAAAGGGATCCGCATAGGGAAAGAAGAAGTGAAACTATCCCTTTTTGCAGACGACATGATACTATACCTCCACGATCCCAAAAACTCCATCCCCAAACTTTTAGAAATCATAAGTCACTTCGGCAAAATAGCAGGATACAAAATAAACCCACAAAAATCAGTTGCCTTCCTATACACTGATAACGCACAGGAAGAGAGGGAAATAAAGGGAGCAACCCCATTCACAATAACCTCCCAAAAAATAAAATATTTAGGAATTAACCTAACCAAAGATGTAAAAGAACTATTTAATGAGAACTATAAAAAGTTAAAGAAAGAAATTGCAGAAGACACTAGGAAATGGAAAGACCTCCCATGCTCCTGGATAGGCCGACTTAATATAGTAAAGATGGTGATACTTCCAAAATTAATATACAAATTCAATGCAATTCCTATTAAAATCCCAATGACGTACATCACTGAAATACAGAAAACAGTCCAAAAATTTATATGGAACAACAAAAGACCTAGAATAGCCAAAACAATTCTAGGGGATAAAGACAATATGGGAGGGCTATCCATGCCGAACTTCAAACTCTACTACAGAGCTATAATCACAAAGACAGCATGGTACTGGCACAAAAACAGACCCGAAGACCAATGGAACAGAATAGAAGATCCAGATATAAATCCACAGGCCTACAGCCAGCTGATATTCGACAAAGGAGCCAAAGACATACAATGGAAGAAACACAGCCTCTTCAACCGCTGGTGCTGGGAAAACTGGGCAGCCACATGCAGAAAACTAAAAGTGGACCCCAGCCTATCACCATGCACCAACATCAACTCAAAATGGATTAAAGACCTTAACATTAAACCTGAATCTCTGAAACTACTGCAGGACAGAGTAGGAGAGACACTTGAACTAATAGGCACAGGAAGGAACTTCCTGAACAGAGTCCCAGGGTCACAACAAGTTGGAGAGAGACTCGACAAATGGGACTACCTTAAAATAAAAAGCTTCTGCACAGCTAAATCTATCGCAACTAAGCTAGAAAGACAACCAACTAATTGGGAAAAAATATTTACCAGCAATATATCAGACAAGGGGTTAACATCCTGTATATACAGGGAACTCAAGAAACTAATCCCTCCCAAACCTAACAAACCAATTACTAAATGGGCAAGGGAACTAAAGAGGGACTTCTCAAATGAAGAAATAAAAATGGCAAAGAAACACATGAGGAAATGTTCATCATCCCTGGTGGTGAAGGAAATGCAAATAAAGACAACCCTGAGATACCACCTTACCCCAGTCAGAATGTCCCACATCCACAAATCAGCCAACGACAAATGCTGGAGGGGATGTGGAGAAAGAGGAACCCTATTACACTGCTGGTGGGAATGTACACTTATACAACCACTTTGGAAAGCAGTCTGGAGGGTCCTTAGAAAGCTAAAGATTGACCTCCCTTACGACCCAGTCATACCACTTCTAGGCATCTACCCTGAACAACAGGAACCAATATACAAGGACACGTGCACCTCCATGTTTATTGCAGCACTGTTCGCAATAGCTAGGATATGGAAACAACCTAGGTGCCCCACCACAGATGAAAGGATCCAAAAATTGTGGTATCTATACACAATGGAATATTATGCAGCCATTAGAAATGACAAAATAATGGCATTTGCAGGGAAATGGATGGAGCTAGAAGGAATCATGTTGAGCGAGGTAAGCCAAGAACGAAGAGACAAACGGTACATGGTCTCCCTCATAAGTGGATGCTAAATCCAAAAGGTTAGTGATACGACAAAACTAACAGGACTTAAGAAACAAAGAACTCCCGCTCATCTGGTTGAACCACTACTAAATATCCTCATGCTGCTGATCACAAATATGGTATATAACATGTGAACACTGTTATATATTACAGACTGTGGTAGACAATTTGCTCCAGGGAAGTTAGAATGAACTTGTGACTTTGAAATTATGTAATCATTTAATCACAATCAAAAAAAAAAAAAAAAAAAAGAACCTCGGGGAAGGGAGGGAGGGGATGGTAGGGGGAAAACAATGGAGGGGGTAACAATGTTCAAGAGGAAGTGTACTCATAACCTCACTCATGTAACTGTAACCCTCTGTATAGTAGCTTTACAATAAAAAAATAAAATAAAATAAAAAAAAAAAATGGAAAAGAAAAAAAAAAAAAAAAAAAAAAAAAAAAAAAAGTAATTTGCGTATCTGTCCTCTTCCAAACTTAATTTAGTTTCCCATCTGTTTCAAAATGAAGTCATTTTGATTTTTCCTGTTTTATGCAGTACTGTGTGTTACAGTCCTATTCAACAATTTGAATATCTAGTCTAATGGTACAAGCTGAAATTAACTCAGCATATCGTGAGCCTAATATTTTAGGACTAGAACTTGCCACTGTTAGTCCAAGTCCCATCTCTCCAATCGGAGTAATGCAAATCTCCTTTTCATCTCCGTGGTAGTGCCTGGAACATAAGCCACTACCTGGATGGTGATTCAAATGCTGTATGTAGTTATGAATGGCTAGAGTAAATGCAGTGACATATTCCAGCCTACCCTGTTCCATAAGAATATGTGAAGGAAAATATTTAAATTGTTCTTCTTGTTGAAGTCTGGGCTTTTGCTCACATGTCCCATTTAAGTCTGCGTAGGTAGCTCGCTTAGTGAGTGGTATTTAATGTTTAATACTTACTAAATAAATGTTACTTGGAAAGTGAATATGTTGGAAAAAGGACAAAAGTGAGCGAGTAAAGGAATGAGGAAGAGGCTTCTGAGGAATGAACAGGTGGCTGACCCTACCTCCTCATCATTTACCTGTCAGGCCAGCTCCCCATGGCTTGTCGGACTTTTCTATACTTGGCAGAAAAGACACACAGAAGTGCTAATAACACAAATGATTATCGCATGCTTTCAAACTGAGCTGAGGAAATGGAGGTGCTGCAAGTTTAAACAACTTACATGAGGTCACTCCACTGTCAGGAACTCGGCCTTCACCTGCCTGGTGTGCACAGACAGTGTGACTCAGCGCGGGTGTGAGGACTCCTGAGGCCGGTGGTGGGAAAGGCGAAAACCCACACAGCCGGCAGCAGTGACTATTTTAACTTTGTTGTCTCACTTCTCCACATCACTACTCCCTAAACGTAACTGCACATTTGTGTCATGAGGAGCAATCTGAAAAGAACGGATGATGAGCTGGGCACTAGTGGCTCACATCTGTAATCTTAGCTACTTAGGAGGCTGAAATCTAGGGAGGGCTATTCAAAGCTAGCCTAGAAAGGACAGTCTGTGAGACTCTTATCTCCAAATAGCTACCACCAAAAAAACAAAAAATGCCAGAAGTGGAGTTGTAGATCAAGTGGTAGAGTGCTAGCCTTGAGCAAAAAAAGCTTCAGGACAGCATTCAGGCCCTTAGTTCAAGCCCCAAGATTAACACAAGTAAGTAAATGAATAGATAGATAGATAGATAGATAGATAGATAGATAGATAGATAGATAGATAGATAGATTGATTGATTATAAATAAAAGTAAGATGACTTAGTCCAACCCTAAGAAGTATTTATGTCATTTATCAAGAGAAATCAGTTTGCTTGACAATTGTACAATTAGGAAAAGAAGAGTTTTTTAATTGCATACTTAATTCCTGCATCCAAATTCTCCCTCTGTTGATTTCCTAACGATGGGCCAATGACAGAGCCTAATGCAAAAAATAATTTCAGCAAATATTATGTCTTATTTTACTTTGGAGATAATTATTTTCATCCTATAAAAAATCATCTACCAAATCATGGGAATGTATGCAATGTATGCATAACTTCTACTTCACCAATGCAACATTGATTTCCCTGCCTGTCGTCAGATGCCGTGCACTCTAAACAGCCATAAAGAAACAAGATTTCCTTTCCTCCAAACCTTCTTTTAATTTTGTAATAGTCACAAAGTTGGTTACTTCTTATATTTAAGCTTCACATCTTAACCACCAGCCCCCCACAGGGAGCTTCCTTCCACCCAAGGAGTTTCCCATCATGCCTGTCACCTCCCACAGCACACACCGTACGTGAAGTTGTAAGATCCATCCAGTAAATCCAGTTGACGAGAGACAGAGAATCCATCACTTACAAGGCCAAATTACAAATCCTTCTTGGAGAGCTGGAGGGCCGCTGGTGGATTCTCATGTCAAAGCCCAGCAGCCCCATGAATACACTTGACACGGTCAGAAAACTCAGCCATGAGAGCCAGAAAGGAAAGGAAAGCAGAAAAACAATACCAACAAACCAGATCAGCTCCAATGGGGAGCTGAAGTGGGGCACTGTGGTGACCAGAGAAGAGACAGGACACAAATGCAGAGACATGTGGCACTGAGTAATGGCGCCTGAGCTAGCTTGGGCCTAAATAGGGCTAGGTTAGGGGCAGTGTCACAGGGAGCTTGAGAGACTGGCAGGCTCAGGAACCTAGAGTCCAAGTCCCCGCCTCTGCCTCTAGCAATTCAGGCACCCGGTCCATTACCTGGGAAGTGGGACTTCCCAGTCTCCACCATGAAGAGAAGATGGCACTAGTTAAACCCAATACCCTATCGTCCACCATGTGGCCAAGATGGCGCCAGCCAGATCCAGTATCCCTACTTCAAAGTGAAGATTTTCATTACATGCCTGACTCATAGTTCTCTGGTTCCTAGGGGTCTCTTACTAAAATATAAAGCACCTAGTGCCAGGACCAGCCTCTAGGTTCCAGCATATACTCAGTGCTCACCACAATAACATATACAGCAGACAAGCAATAGTATCTGCGAGATGGAGAAATTAATTAGTTGTGACTCCTCCCCCATTGTTGAGGATGGGGATCAGAAATGAAGAGTGACTCATTGTTCACTTGGCCACATGCTGTCACATGATCTGTTCTGTCTTGCCTGTCTCCAGGTATCACCACAGTCCTGACGATGACCACTCTCAGCACCATCGCCCGGAAATCTCTCCCCAAGGTCTCCTACGTCACAGCCATGGACCTCTTTGTATCTGTTTGCTTTATCTTTGTCTTCTCTGCTTTGGTGGAGTATGGGACCCTGCATTATTTTGTGAGCAATCGGAAACCAAGCAAGGACAAGGACAAAAAGAAGAAAAATCCTGTATGTATCATTTCCCACTGGGAACACTGAAGTTTGTTTGTTTTTTAATGTATAAAGACCACAAGGTTTTTGCTTAGTTTGGTTTTGGTATCCTAGCTGAAGGTGAAGGCTCAGAATTTGGGCTTCAAGATAAAAACAGTTTGGTATGAGTTTGAGCCAGACCATAAAGATCCACTAAATGGTCATTAGTTCCTTGAGAGATTCCTGGGTTCTAAGTCAGAATCCTTATGCAAATACAACATCTTGCATCTTTATGTTATAGGTTAAAACTGATGTCGAGGAATATAGCCATGTGCTATCCGCTGTTGTTCTAAGTCTCACTGATTTTCATCTTTCTGCCCCAGTTACTATCAAGTTTTAAATTTTTTAGTGTTATAAATGAAAACTTTCATTTAAGTCATTCCACTGCTCAGCTGCAGGTGCTTAAAGTTCTGAGGATTATCACACTTTTCCAAATGATTTAGTGTGTTGTTGGGTGGGCATACACAGGTATATCATCACCTGATGACTTCTGTTGGATCCATATATAATATTATCTTTGTGTGTGTGTGTGTGTGTGTGTGTGTGTGTGTGTGTGTGTGTGTATACATGCATGCACGCTAGTAGCAGGGTTTAAATTAAGGGCTTCATGATCTTGCTCAAAATTCTCACCTACAGTTGGTACTCTACCACGTCAGTCACACCGCCAATCTTGCCTTTTGGCTGGTTAATTGGAGAGTGTCTTGAACTTTTCTGCTTAGGCTACCTTTGAACTGTGATCCTCACATCTTAGCCTCCTGTGTAGCTAAGATTATACATGCAAGTCACTAGTACCTGGCTCTTTTTCCTTTGAAAACAAATACTTTACTAAGTTCAGGTAAGTTACTAGTCTCCCCATGTCTTTCTCGTATAGAAAATTAATGTGTTATGGCAATGCTGGGAGAAATGAATCTGGTGAGGGAGGTAAACTCAAAGAGAGTCCTTGTCCTTTGTAGTTGATGATATGGTTTGGTAACAGTGATGGTTGATGGCTGGTGGTTGATTATCATAAATAAATTCATGATTTATACTAACAAGAATCTCTTTCAGCATCTGTGTGATTTGGACACAGGTAGGATGACTTTTGATTGCTCTGAGGTTTAATCAGAGAAGATCAGGCACAAAGATAAGTGCCCACAGTGATTGGCTTTTATTGTGGCTTTAAGGAAAACAGGTAACTACCCACAAGTCCACAGAGCAGACTCTGGCTTTTAGAGCCACAAATGAGAGTTAAGGTCCATTCCGGCAAGGGTAACGGCCCCGCCTCCCTGATTTCCAGCCTTTCCTGGCTTTGTGGTCTAAGAGTCACAAGGGCTATGACAGTGGCTACCTATGTGGCCCAGGGAAATCTAGCTGGTTCTAAGTTATATCCTGACACATCTCCCAGAAACTCCAGAAAAAGTCTGCAAATAGCACATTTACTGAAGCAAGTAAAGGATCCTGTTGATTACAAAAGGAAATGCTTCTTGTTTATTTCCTCCAGTATTTATGATGCCCTGTGCAACCTTTGCTCTCTCTGTTTTGCCTTTCTCTGCCTTTCCATTGTTTTCTTTTCCTTGTGCTGGGTGTTTTTGTTTGCTCCCTCTCCTCCTTCCATTTCATCCTCTCCTGAGAAGATGACCCCTGCTATTGTACCTGCCAGCTATAACAAGGGCATGAGGTTAGGCTGTCAGACCACTTTTGAAAAATCCTTTAGAAAAGAGTCCTTTGGTTATCAGCTATATCACGGCAGGGCAGAGAGGAACACAGTTGAATTCCTCAATCTAGAGTCATAGAAATAGCAGGGGGGGGGGGGGGGAATGAGAAGGGAGAGGAGAAAAGGAATCAAAGAAAATGAGAAAATAAAATTTCCAGAGCATTTCATACGTTTTCCCTTCAACCTGCTAATTTATCAAAACTGCTACAGTGTGGAAGGAGACGCTGATATTTCCTTTTCCTGTCTACCTGCCCTCTTCTCACGTGCCAAGTCTCAGCAGTGATGGTCTCCCTGATGACTGTTAGAAAATAAATTGACACTATTTCTATACAGGGAAAATAGACAACAGGAAGACTCACAATTGGACAACACTGGCTTTTGCAGTGAGATAAATGTGGACTCTTTTACTGAAGATTTAACTAAAATGCACCAGATTCTGTTGTAGCAATTGAGCATATACTTTATCCCAGTTCAGAACTCTCCTTCTGTGTTTATAATTTCAGTTCATTTTACTTGCTGTGTTTTCAAAATGTATTTTTAATTTATCTTATTTTGTTTCTCTTTCTTATTTTTTCCTACCCTTTCCTTCTTTTTTTTTTTTTTTTATTAAAAAACCCCCCAAACCTGCGATTCTCTTTTCTGTCTACAAACCCAAAGCTTCTCCGGATGTTTTCCTTCAAGGTATAATGTTCTTGGAATGAAAATCCACTGCATGCAATTGCTAAATTTAACTATTAACGCTTCACACTGTGTTTTTATTTAATTCATTTTTTTTGAGTAGAGATTTAAGCATTCTACTAGAGATAACATACTCAAGGTTGGGGAAAATTCTGTAGTTTCCAGAGTTGATGAAGTAACTATTCAGCATTTCACCACAGGCTTTAATCTTACTCAAAAGCTCACAATTGTAAGGCCTGTGAAATGTCACAGGTAATCAAGGCTCTTTTAAACATCAAAGCCAAAAATGACCTTCTCTCTTCAGAATGGGAGAAAATGGGATCCAATTTCACTTGTTTATACCTGAATTCTTTTAAAACAAAATTTAACTCTATAAACCCTAAAACCCAGGTTTTAAATTTTCTCCATAAAATTTATCTCTTTTGTCTAAGCGAAAATGTGAATCTCATAAGAACAATACTGTCTTTTAAAGACTTTAAATTAAAACACCTGTACTTTTCTTCTGATGTGCTCGCCAGGTTTGATGGTTCTATAAAATGTTAACATGAGATTTCTACTCAATTCTCATAGATTCAGATTTGTGTTTATGCTGAGTTACTTAAGTAACCCAGCAAAATCAACATTACATACACTCAAATTTTATTAGTAGTTTGGTAGCAAGATTAGATTTGCATGTAGTTAACTGGTATGAACTTACTAACTGGTATTAACTAATTAATAGTTTCTCCTCAAATGCTAAAACAATTAACATGTAGATTAATTCACACATATATGAATACTGCTGACTTCTTAATTTCAAATTGGTGAGTGCTACTAAATACTCTCTGAAAACATAAGGTATACTACCTTAGTGGTATAAAATCAGAAATCTTCTAAATTATGAATTTTAGCATTTTTCTATCAACATCATTTAATATATTTGCTCAGTGTAATGGGGTTTCCTATCTGCCCATAACTAAGCATGACAGAATTTGATTTCAAAATCAATGCATTTTTATTTCTCTGTATCACTCACAAGCAGTCTCATCAAATGGCTTCATGTAACCAATTTCACATCTAGTAATTAATAGAATACGATTCCATGTAGTTTGATTTGAATCTTTAAACTTTGCGTTTTTTTTTGGTGTTCTATATTCTTGCGTTAGCAATTAGCTTGACATTATTTTCAGCTGCACTGCTTAAGCTCAGTATTTGAAATCCGCAAATGTGCTACCTCTTTCTAAGTTAAATCTTCCCATCCTAGATCGCAATGCCATAGCAATTTTCTGAGTACTCATTTTCAGACTCATCATCCCATTGGTGGCATTGTGGAGAAAGCCTAAGGTTGCTCAAGCATCCCTAACTTGGAGCTCTCTCCTTCCCCACCTTTGTCCCAGGCTCCGACCATTGATATCCGCCCACGATCAGCAACCATTCAAATGAACAATGCCACACACCTACAAGAGAGGGATGAAGAATATGGGTATGAGTGTCTGGATGGCAAGGACTGTGCCAGTTTTTTCTGCTGCTTTGAAGACTGTCGAACCGGAGCCTGGAGACATGGGAGGATACATATCCGCATTGCCAAAATGGACTCCTATGCTAGAATCTTCTTTCCCACTGCCTTCTGCTTGTTCAATCTGGTGTACTGGGTCTCGTATCTTTACCTGTGAGGAGCTTTGGGTCTTTCTGATATGGGTCTTACTTGCTGAATCTCACGGAAAGGTGTCCTTTCTGAGTGTAGTTGGTAATGATCCGAGTTCATTTCTACGTCCTGATCTGGTAAACTGTATGACGTCATGTTGTTTGTGCCCAACTCTCCTTTGGTTAGTGTAATTTGAACTTCAATGGTGTGTCATGTTTCAAACCTGCAAGGCAAAAGTCAAATTAGAACAAGAACTCTGAAGCCAAGCAAGACAGTTATTTTTCAGCTACAACAACTGAAATTGTGAGAGCATGACTCTTTATAGAGGTGGTATCTTTACTTGGTTCATAATACAGTTCCACCCAAAAGGTCCCAAACCGTATCCTATGTTCGCTTGGGGTCAAGTTGTGGTAAACTCAAACAAAATAGAATACCTCCCTTATTTGTGAAGAATCACAACTCACTTTAAATATAAAAGCCTAGAGTAGAAATCTACTAAGCCTTTATCCCAAGACAAGAACAAAATTTCCTGCACATCACCTGTACAATGATGTAAATATTTCAATAATGTAGAATGCTTCCAGTTTAATGCATGCATCTCTTTAGAGCCAAAATAAATGGATTGAAGTTATCATCCTAAAGTATTGTCTTTTATTTTGTGTCTTTGGGCTATATAACAGAAAACATGAATGCAATTTTAAGGATTTGGGTTTGGAATTGGAGGGAGGAATTTTCACTGCCCTCCCCCTCATGCATGAAGACTTAGTTGATTTACTTGCTTTTGTATGACAGATGACACTACTTGAAGTAAAGTATAGGCTGAATAATGGACATTTGCTAACTCTTAAATATGCCCAGTTTTCTAAGTAGAGTATGAAGTAATTGTATGTGCTTGCTGCTATTTTTCCTTCCTTTTAGGATGGTAGTTCTTAACAGAACGAAACCTCCATCTTATTATCTGCTTCCAGTGATGGTGATTGCCTTGTAGGCAGAATCATTGCCATTTCTTTGGGTCTCTATACCTTGTGCCTGGCACATAGTCAGTGCTTAGAAAATATAGTCTGAGATAAATCACCTGCCCAAATCCCTGATGATGAATCTTCCTCTTATGACCTGGAAGTTGAGATTCATCTTTTTCACTCCGGCATTGTCAAGCGATGTTTGATCTTGTAGAAACAACCAAAGGATCCAGGGAACTCTGGCTATTATGTTCCTCTTTAAAAACATTGTTTTGGCAGTCTGTACTTCTTTTAAAATAGTATCCATGTCTCATGTTTGTGCACAAATGACTGCGTGGGCCTATACTTTATTACTTCTCCAGGTTTGGGTGTAAGTCTGCTTGGGAATTTATGACAGGGATGGACAAGACTTTCATATGTGACTGGAATTCAGAACGTAGTACTTTATTATACAGGAAAAACTTTACTGAATATTAAAATAAAAAGGGAGCAAACAAATGAATAGTTTATGCAGAGGTCAATGTGCCGGTGACTATAGCCTCGTAAGACTTTGTAGTAACCAAATATGATGGCCGCACAGTTCAAACATTATGGGGTGAGCTGTATCTTCCTTTGCTCATCCCAAATACACATATAGTTTTTAAACACACCCTCTTCCAGTTCTTCTTTAAGGCAATTATTTCATGGAGTCAGAATTTAACTATTGGTAGTATAACTCTATACATAATCTAAAAAGTATAGAAAAGAGAGAACAACTTGGGTAATATAAAATCATGTAAAGTGATATCAACTCATCTGGATGAATCTTGAAATACATTTAGTGACCAATTTTAATCTATCAATGCTTTAGTACTTAGCTTCCAACAAATGTAAATAGAACAACAATATTTTCTTGTTTTGAATTGTTGAGATATTTAATGTTTATTCTTTAGGAGAGTTGTTGGCAAATTTCAATGGCAAGAAACATGTTATCATTGTCAACTTGAAATGTGTTCTGTAATGGGGACACTAAACAAAGCTAGCTTTCCAATATGTGCATAATATGGGCAATATGAATATATTATATAGAATCTAATTCTTAATTGTCAGCTGCTCCTTGTTTATGTATTTGAAAACCTTTTCACAAAGGTAACTGCCTAAAGTGGACTTTTCCAATAAAAATGCTGAGTTCGGAGTCGCAGTGCCACCGCACTGGTCTAATTGGGTTATTTTTCCTAAACAGTTTGAGCTTCTTTCCTGTCTCCTTCCTCCAACCCCCTTTCCCTGAGCCTTGGGGAACTAAACCTTTTTCACACAGCATTCTCTCCACTTTTAAAGAACTAAGATGTGTGTTTAAGGCAGGAACGAAGAAGGAAGGCAGAAACATTGTTGAAGTTTATACTAAAACATCAAACTTTCTCTATCTCAACACATTAGAGATTTGGTTAAAAAACCAGACTGTTAGATGTAGACTGGGCATCAGTGCTAACACCTGTAACCCTAGCTACTCAGGAGGCTGAGCTCTGAGATCACAGTTCAAAGCCAGCCCAGACAGAAAAGTCCGAGAGACCCTTTTCTCCAATGAACCACCGGAGAACTGAGTGTGGGGCACTCTACCCAAAGTGGTAGAGTGCTAGCCTTGAGCATGAAAGCTCAGAGTCAGTGCCTAGGCCCTGAGTTCAAATCTTGTGAACTGACAAAAAGTAAATAAGGTAGACCATTGGCACATGAAGTTGGGATCACTGACCATGTACTACTGTACTTTTTTTTTTTTGTCTTTTGCCAAGTCAGTATTTAGCAGCCTCTTTTTACCAACTATGAATATTCATGTACCTCAAGTACTGACATTCAATGAATGGCAGAAAGCTCTCTCCCTCATTTCCAACATCTCCTATGCAATGTTGCTCCATATACCCCAAGTAGATTAGCTCTCCTAGAGAAGTCCGATAATAGTCATGGTGGTTCATCTTAAAGGAGCATTTGTCTTGCAATTCTTCTTTTAAAATATAAGTTGGAAATTCAAGTCCCTTGTTGGGGAAAAGACTTACATCGGTTGCTTTCAAGGCCCAGTTAACACCAAAGAATTACAGTGAAAAACATAAAAGCATCAGGACTGGATTAGTCTTGTTCCAGAGTCAGTGTCATATTTTCTTGAGCTTCTTTTAAACTCTCCAGAGCATAAATCAGTATCTTTCACAAGCGTAGCCGCCCTCGCCTTTCCCTGCCTGCGTGCTCTTGGCCCCTTGTGGCCTCCTGTATTCAGCTTAAACATCTATTTCTTACCTTCCAGACGTGTATTTTCAGTTCGATCTCATCTGCTGTCTGGCTCAATGCCCTATCTCTAGCTGAGTGCGCAGTCATTGCATGGCCTGTGTCCCACTTTTCTGGCTTCAGGGTTATGCTGACTACTCGCCGAAATGTAATAAAAAGTCAAAATAAAGTAAGCAAATGATGTGATCTTTGGGGATTCTAGCAAAGATGGCCATCTCTCTTCTTTGTCACTATGAATACTTGTTGAGGGCATAAGAGGGGCGTGTACAGAAGAACCATGGCTCTGTAGTATTTCCAGTGTCCCATGAATGGTCACAGGCCACACAGCTGGTGAAAAGTAAACTGAAAAGAGCTGGCCAATCACTACCATTTCCAGTGTACTTAACAGTGCTTCAGGATTTGGAAGTACAATTCTGGAGTGCTTTTTCTGTTTATTGTTTAGGGTCTTTCAGACTTGTAATTTTTATCTGCCTCAGTTTCCTTATCTGAAAAAATAGGGATAATACTGGCAGATATTGCATGCTTTTGTTTTAGGGAATAACTAGACACCACAAAATGATTACTTGTCATTTTCTTTAGCACAGATATGAAATTTCAGAAAAGAAAGAATTCAGGCCCATGTCAATGTGGCTTAAGAGTAATTATTGTCATTTATGAAGATTCCCTTTTCTCATTCAGAGTTGAGATAGAAAGGGTCCCTGGATCACGCACCAAGGCCCTATTATGGCAGGCCCTCTGTTCTCATGGGTAAATGAGGAGAGGAGACCCCTCCTTCTCTGGCAGGGCTTCAGTCTGCCTCTTCTGTGCTGTTAATTATGGTCCTGTGAGAGTGAGTACCATCTAACGTTCAGTTCTATTATGCAGTGCCTCATCTTCTCACAGCTGCTTTGTATCACTGTTCTAGTTCTTCCAGCATCTTCTATAACAATGTGCCCTACTCGTAGAGTTTTTTTCCTCTGCTTAACAGACTTTACAGTCTAATTAAATAGTCTACCCAATCCATGAAGTCTTTCCAGCTTTAATAAAGCAAAATACAGTATTTTCCTTTTCTCTCTTTCCATGTTTGGTGTGATTTTAGAGTAGTCTAGTCCTGCTGTTTACCTCACCTAAGTACTTAGGATTGGATCCACCCAATCCTCTTAGCAAACAAATTTAAATGAGTAATGCTGTGACAAGAATATGATATAAATAATTCACTAGCCATCTGCATCTTAAATCAGGCATTTTATCTTCTTGTCTATTCCCCCAAATACATTTGGCTTATAGCTTTTTGTTACTTGTATGTTTTATGGCTCTAGAATGAAGTCTTTTATCGAAGAAATTTTGATTAAACACCTATAAAGTTAACTCAATGGAAGAGCTCTCAGTAAACACAGAACCACAGGCCTCTGGGAAGGCAGTAGGAAGATAAGGAAGAGAGAAATTTTAGGAATTCTTTGCCTTGAAATGTCCATAATATGTTAGAGACAAAGAGCAACACAAGAAACTATAACAGAGCTGCACACCGTGGAGGTAGAGGAAGCCAGTACGTGACCTGGGAGGAGGGAGTTTCACACCCAACGCAAGTGCCCTTCCGCATGGGAGGAGGCCTATCACGGCCAGAAATTTCACACACGACACAAGTGCCCTGCCTCATGTGAGGGGAGCCTATCACGGCCAGAAAGCTTCCTTTCTGGTAATAATGGGAATTTGTGGAAAATCTGCAAAATGTGAAAAGTACAAAACTTCCTCATTCACTAGATAATGACGCATACACATGAGTATACATAACATTTGTTGGATATCATTATTAGTATTATATAGTTTTACCATAATTAGTCTACCTACTTTCTTACTTTGGAAAACTGAATATTTCTTCCTTTTGTTTTGTAAATCACGCTACAGTA